AATCACAAATAAGGAATCCCAAAATTAACATAGTATTGCCACAATTCAACAAATTACAGTGACTAATAAAAATTGACAGAATTACAATAAATGTCAATATCCTAGACATCAAAATGTAAAGGTGAGTACCAATGTACTACTGAATTAAAAACTAATTCCAATTTCACTTTCAAGAATTTTTCACATTTCAAAGTTAGTCTATTCACAAAAAATTTAAAATTTCAAAAATCACTTATGAAACATAATATCTAATTCATAGGAAGCATAATTAATGCAGTATCATCAATAATATGTTGAGGTTATACTTTTGACTATATAAAACGAATGAAAGTTTGGTACAAACCGAAAATAATAATTTTAAAAATACCATTAAGTGCCTGTTGCAAATAATTAACTTTTTGTTTTCTACCATTACTACTTTAAAAATGTTCACCATAACAATAGTTCATAATTAATTGATATAATTACCTCAGAAAAAAAAAATTTCATTATAATGAAAAATCATTCTTATACCTTCTAATATTACTATTAAGAACATCTAAGTCAGGTAAGGGGGGCAATATTTTTTTCATGGAACTTCACAATAAATTAAAATAAAAACAGCAATACACTATGGTACATAAATGTATTGAATAATCTTGAAAATTGAACCAACATCTCAATGTCTGCGTTCTGTTTAGTTCAAAGAGTTAATCTGACTAGCATTCTAGTGACATTAATACGATAGGAAAGAAAAAGAAATATCCTATTGCAGGGCCGACAGAATATATAAATTTCAGTACCATGGGTGGGGGTAATATATGTTTTCATAAAGAAAAAGATGATAATGGTATAAATATGTAGTTTATTCAACATTTTTTAAATTGAAATTGATCAATGTAGTAAACTGGAATCCCCCCTCCAATTTTTGTCAAAATTCCTGGTAGGTAACTACCCACCTGGTTATATTTTCGCATGGATAGAACTACCCACCGTACCCATCTTTTCCGCCAGCCCTGTCCTATTGTAAAAGTCATAACCCAACATTTTTTCACAAATAATGATTTCTCATTTAATTATGGAAAGAAACTCATCTTTCCATAACATTCAAACAAAGAAATGCAGATTTCTTAGTGCCTTAAAATCAGTTCTTTATTACTTACCAAAATTTTTAACCATTTGTTCAGGTAGTTTCCAAACCTTTGCAGAAGTTAATTTCTTAGCATTTCTTTTAAAATTATAATTATATTCTCAATTTTTCATGATATTTTATGGATATATTTAAAAGAATTTCCATTTACAAGACTTAATTAAGATTTAATCTGAAATGTTATTACATTTTTCATGATTCATTCTGGTGTGAAATATATAGAATGGGGTGACTTCCAAGAAAAGAAACACTATTTACAATACCTGCAACTACACCAATATAAGGTGAACTGATTATGTGATATTAAACTCAAAACAAAACCAGCAATATCTGGGTTCAGCAGATTCTTGTAAACACCAAATGAACCTTTCCTTTTAAAAGTTTAAATCAGAAAAGTTTGAAGAGAAACCACATTTAGTCTGTATGAAATTACAGTTTCAAAATTCATGATATCTAATAATTCTGATCTCTCTTATAATGAACACACAATGACTTGATACAATGGAAGATAACATTCATTTAATGAAACAATGCCATGTGAAAAAAGAAAAATGTTGTTCTGGGAACAGACTTAGAAAATTGAAAAGTTGGTCAACACAAAGATGGACATAATAAGAAACAAACTCATTTGGCAGAAAAATAAATTAAATTTACAGCTTCCCAAATGAAATTAAATAATTTACAAGATGACATTGAATTTAATATTTATGACTGCACATAAAGCATTATATTATGGAATTATCAATGCTCGTAAGTTGATCTTCCCAAGGTCTAATTGTCTCAATGCTTCTCCCACAATTAACATACATATATTAGTGTATTCAAATAATTGATGAAAATGTTTAAAATCTTAAAACTGAATTTGCAAAGAAAAAACAACAAACACATGCCCATACGCACCCACACCCATACACACACTCAAAGAGAACCAAAAAAATTATCTCATTAATATTTCCGAGAAAATGAATATAGTAGGGAATAATGGTGGAAAAATAGATTCATTAATACTAATAAAAATTTTACCAATGATATTTTTTGTTCCAAGTTCCTTAATTTTTTTAAAATTTTCATTCTTTACATGGAAATTACGTTGAAATGTTTCTGTTACCACAGTGCCCAGTGTTTTTAATATTAAAAGCTGTCTACTTATTCAAGACGTAAGATAGATGACAAATCTGTGACAATGATTTAGTTGGAATGGGGATACACGGATAACTGAACTGTTGCCATTTGATGACAATTTTTGGGTTCATATAAAGTGCTCTGAGTAACCAACTGTTGCACAAATACCTAACTACAATAACAGAGAAATGAAGTTTCCAAATAATTTTCTGGACAGTCTCCAGAAATTGGAAACTGCACTTCCCAATGATTGATTATTTTCTTTCGTTTCCATGATTTGAACATTCCTATCTACACAACATCCATAAAGCTACACGAACATATGTACACCAAATATTTTATTTAGCGGTTTCAATTCTTATAATTACAATGTGTGGTAAAGCCAACCTGATCAATTGAGTAAGGCCAAGAGACAGATTGCATCTAAAGCTTTTTTCATTTTATTTGGATATTTTGAACTGCAAGTTCATGTAGTATTCACAGAGCTAACTTCACTTCATGTAGATAAAGATTCTAGGGATGAAGAATCAGATATTGATTTGGTGTGTGAAGATCACAACTTTATGTTCTGAAGGAAGAAAAATTGGGATTTGTGGAGAACAATACATATAATAACACCCAGTATGATTGACACTGCAACTGATAAATGGATCAGGAAAGCACCTTCAGGAATTTAAGGAGAAAGCACGACACCAAAGGCCATTTTTAGAAGAACAAAACATCCCTTTCCTGGATGATTCTTAAAGGAAGATATGAATTATAGGAAGAATTCTTTTTATGAGAATGAATAAGAAAGAATATTTGCAATTCTTGTCGATCTAATATTGATTTTTGTTAAACTAAATGAAATGCTGCTCTGCCTTTTCAAAACTTATAATCCAAATATAACCGGCAAAAAGTAATAATCTCTAGCAATTTTATTTATGAGCCATTATGACAAACTCTCCAAAAGGAACTCTCAAGATTACATCACACAATATACGAGTGATAAACCCAACAAGAAAAAAATGATTCCTTAAATATGTCAATTTACCCACTATCAAGATAATTCTTAATACATAGCCCAGTAAAATTACACAAAAAGATTGTGATCAAAGGAAAAAAGCTCCTGAGTTTTGAAACTTGGCATGATCGTTGGTTGGTACCCACGGCATACCATACTAAAAATCCTGAAGTGGGGGATGAGCCAGGGGTGAAGCGGTCATTTGAAGGTGCTTTTTTAAAATGTTTTTGTGCATTTATCTCCATAACCATCAATCCACTGAAAATTATGTTCAATACAAAATTAAAGTACAAAAAATTTCCTACAAAAACATTCCTATAAGTTATTGTAGTCAAATTAACTACTTTAGTGTTATAGGCTTGAATATTTCTTGTTTTTGTTTACAAGGCCCAATTTACCTCTATAAAAATGAGGTTTTGATAAGTTCAATCACAAAAGTAATTTTATTTTTGTCAACATTTATCAACAATATGTATTTGCATATTTTGTGCAAAAAACAGGAATATTTTACACCTTTACAAAGCTTATTTTACATGTAGACTTATGAGTCATGTCATCTATGGTCATTGGGGTCTGAAATAAATCTCTGGTACAAAAACAGATAATTTTCAGCTGGGATTGATTGTTATAGAGATATATGCAAGAAACGTCCAAGAAGCACCTTTAAACAGCTGCCTCACCCTCAGTTCACCTCCCACATCAGGATTTTTAGTACATTATGCAGTTGGTACCAACAAACAATCATTCCTAGTTTCAAAACTCCAGGATTTTTTTCACTCTATTCATGTAATTTGACTGTGTTATTAATCTAAATGTCAAAGGGTAAAGAAGACCACAAATGGACAAAATGAAAGAGAAATCTATAATTTTATTCTGTAAATCAACTTAATTAGGCAAGTCACTGATAACCTATTTTGATTGTCATAGTTGCAAATAAATAGCACTGCATGATAAATAACACCAGCCTGCGATGATGAAAATACAATGGAATTGATAGCTAACTTCATGTATTTTTTGGGGCCAATTAAAAAAATGAAACATTTCTATCACATTATGTTTTCTTAAAAAATTCATTTTTACTTGGAATTTTACAAACATTTGCCATTATTATTTTCTGGGCCCTTCAAAAGAAGCAGTTGAATTGTTGATTTCCAGATTGAAAGAGAAAAGTAATGGCCAAAGGACCCCCTTTTAATTGGTACAGGAATTTGTTTAGTACTTTGAGGAATAGAACTTTGTCAATTGTACTGTTGATCCTGAATTGATGAGCAAATTTAATATCACCTACAATAAAGATGAATGCAGGCTGTTTACAGATTCATCGAAAAGGAGCCTTAAAGCTCTTCTGCTTCATCATGGAAGCCAGAATGCATCTCTACCAGTTGAACACTCAGTGCATTTAAAAGAATGCAATGAAAACCTGGCTCTTGTTCTCAACAAAATAATATATGCCAACTACAGTTGGACCATTTGCAGTGATTTGAAAGTTATCTCCAAGCCTCTTGGTCAACATGGTGAATATTCAAATTTCAATTGTGGGTGGGTCAGCTGTGATAAGACTCAACATTGGGTCAAAAAGACTGGCCAAAGAGACAACATTTTGGTGATTTTTCTCGGAATTTTTTGTTTTTTTTACAACCAAAGGTGGTTGCGTTCAACAAGAAATCATTAATTTTATACTTACATTAAAAAAACAAAAAACACCACCATCTGTTGCCAGATAGTATGTGTACAATTGTTAGACAAAATTCCTTCTCAAATAGAACTTTAGGAAAAATATTGATGTCCACTATATAAAAAAATCCTAAAGTAATGGGAAAAAAATGGAGGTCATTTTCAACATCAGTGAAAACTTCTTGTATTTTTCAAAAACATCAATTTCACAGGCCTGTGTTATCAGAGGAAAGCCTAACAATTTTTTCTACAACTTTTGGCTTGACTGGAGCTAAAGTATTACAAATAGCAGAAAAGTAGTGAAACTTGTTTCATTAACGTGAACATTATTATAGTATGTTTAGTGAAATTTTTACAAATTGAAAGTAGGTATTAAGTATAAGTAGCAAATTTAAAGTAGGTAGGAGGTAGAATTAACATTGCATATTCAATAACAGATATTACTTAAATTGCTTCCAATTTCCTGCGATTATTACTTAAATTGCTTACAAATCAAAATATACATCAATTCTAAATTTTTCTTTTTTCAGATTCAAGTCAATTGCAGACAATTTGCATTAAGACTATTTTAGCTTGTGTAGATTATTAATAATTAAGTTCAAAGTTACTATAATATGAATTTTACAAAAATTGTTACATAGACAATTTTAGCTCCTTGCCATGTAACATCTCAACAACTAAGATAGCTATTTATTTAACTCTGATCTTTCTCAAGGCAAAAATTCACTGGGACAAACTTGGTTAAAAGATCTGTAGGATTGGGGATTTTTTTCAATTGCCACAAGACAAAGTTAACAGAACTTGTGCAACTGTTTTGGATAATATGATACGTGTGCATTACTGTAACCTAAAAGGATAAGCAATGTCAATAGATATTGAACAACATCAGGGAAGAAAGAAAAAGCCAAAGGAGAAAGGAGGGAAAAAAACAAAAATTACAGATTTTCAAGAAAGGAAAAACAATATTGATAACCATACTTTCAACAACAGGATAACAATATGGCTTACTCCGCGTATCTACTAGCCATAAGGGCAGAAAAGCATAAAACCAAAACTGTGCATGAAATTCTATTGTTCAAGTTTTTTCTTAATTGATAGTAAGAATAAATATGGGTGATTACTAAATACAAAATGGAAAAATGTAATTTAAGAATTGTTATTATATTGTAATTATTTCCAACTTATACATTCATAATATTGCTTTCAATTCTCATTATGAAGCAGGTATGTAGAAAACATCTTATATACAAGGTTTCCCCAATACAGGTGTTATGCATGCAATCAAAGCCACATTAAAAGATTTTAATAGAAAATATAAATCTGTTAATTGAGTGTTACCGAAACAGTCTTAGTTGCGGATTAATTAGTAAAGTATGTTCCCAAACAAGATTTTATTACATTTTCAACTAATTGTTTCAGTAGGCCCAATAAACATTTAATGAAGTTCTTTCATTGAATGATACATGCTTAGCCACAAGCATACCTGTGTAAGTCATTAAACCATTTTACGGTACCTGCAGGTCAATTAAATAAAAAAATATTTAAGATTTCACAACTAACAGTATTCTTAGTCATTCATGAAGAACAAATAAACAAAATCAAGTTGTTTTCAAAAAGTGAAACACTTAAAGTCATCTGGACAAAATGCATTCATGAACCCTTTTCCCTAGTATATTTTCTCAAGAACTATCAATAATTCTCTTTCAAAAATAATTATATTCAAAATCAACTTATAAAATTATATACATATCCTTTAAAAATAATAATAATAATAATAAATAAATTAATTAAATAAAATCAAGTGCTTGAATTTGCAGATCAACGTATTTAATTGCTAACTAATGACGTTGAGAAAGTGTTGAAATCCATGGAAGTTTATTTGTTCAGTTTCTTGGGATCTAAGCAAGAAAATATACATTTTTCTCAGTCAGTTTATGAGTAGACTTTTCTTTAACAAGTGTGGTGAGTAATTTTTTGTATCTTTTATCAATAACATAATGCACATACAACACACATTCGTACTCAAAATATACCTATAAAGAATTTTATTTCTGTGCAAAACTGTCATGAAAAAAGCCTGTAACTCTTGGGGGATAATATTTACAGAGTACATTTATATATGAGTTATTGATCTTGCTGCACTTTAGAATTCCATTTTCATCAATAATTAATGTATTTCTTTTTTAAGGCTCCTTCATGAACAAATATCATCAAGGCAATCATAACAAAAAAGTAAAGTAATGAAAACTTTCTAGAAATTCAGAATTTTTTAAACTTAAAAAAGAAATCAAACAGTAGAAAGAACCCCACTAATCCGACAAAATTTGGGATGGAGGAAATAAAGAATAAAAACAGATTTGTATTAATTTAATTAATGAAAGAAAAAGCACGAACACAGTGCAAGTCAACCGAATTCTGAATACTGTATGCAGAGTACCCGTTAATAGCAGCGACACGAACAGTGCTTTAACTCTTCTGAACAAACTAGCTACTACCGCATGTGACCAGTTATGTACATACTGTACTGTTGTTTGCAACATTGCTACTTCTTGTCATTATGCTATGTTGCCATTTTCTCACATTGCAGTATCAGGTAATTCTACAAATGTATTTGTGTATGTACAATAATTTTTTTTTGGATAATCTGAATATTCCTGAATCCAAACATATCACATCCTCAATTAGTTCAGAATACTGGGGTTCTACTGTACTATAAAGAAGTGGAAATTGCGTTAGCAAGTTGATTTAAAATGGCCTGAAGGTAGTTATAATTAAAAAAATTACTTAATTCAACAAGGTGTCAATTTTAATATCACTGTAATTAACTCTTCTCCAGGCAAGCTATTGATGAAACACACCCGGGAAGCAATGATTGCCAGACTGCCTCATAATGTGTTTCTATTCTTTCTTTCTTTTTTTGGCAGAGTTCTGATAATATGAATTTTCATTTCTAAAATCTCTCCTAAAAGCAGCAATATTTGATCATTACGAAGTTTTGTCTGTGTGATTTTCATTCTTTCAGCTGAAATTTAGCACAGTTCAAATAAATCTATGTAACAGTGAAGATACTCTTCAACGTGATGACATACATGAAATCTTTGACCCTTTGAATTGATAAACTAATATAATTGTTTGGATTGTTGCAGAGAATTCAAGAACATAAACAATTGTTTCTTACCAAAAAGAACACAAAAGGACTTGAAACACAGGCACAAAAAAGCAGTCAGAAAGTTTTAGTTTGTCATAAACAATCCTTGGAGAGAGCCCAGAGTCCAACAGACCTTTGTTTCCGAGACAAAGGTTTAAAACTTACTTACAAACACAAAAATTCCATGAAAATATTGGACCTTAAAATGAATAAAATTTGACCAACTTTCTCAAATGTCTAGGTACTGTTAATAAATAAAAACAGCAGTCAACTACTGAAGATCCTTCAAGTATATTATTATTATACACTTGTTATTCTGTTTCTATCAGTATCTTCATTTACAATTTGAATGGCATGATTCTAGAAGCATTTTGCCTGAAATTTTTGAATGAAAATTTTTCATTTGTATATTTGTATCATGAAATTGTGGTAAAATATATATTTTTTTACATTTCTTGCTTTATATTGTTAATTATTTTCCTACTTACATTATGTACAATTCATGGATAACCAGCAATTCTGATTTGTTTCCATGACTATTCTTTGAAGAAACTATACATATATATTTTAAAATATACAAATGCCAATCTGATACAAGTAATTGTAATTACTTGTACCTTACCAGGTCAATAGCACTATTTAATAGAGTCAACATTAAATTGCGTTTATCCTTTGCAATACCATTTAAATTAATTAACTCGAAAATGGTGTCCATCCACTTCTTTTCATCCACATCTTCAGATGACAAGTATTTTTTTAAACTATCTAATGCTTTCTCTCTAGTCATTGTAGAACCTGTTAAAACAGTGTCTAAAACCGTTAGATCTCCAAACTTATTTGTTACATGAGGAACGAGCTGCTTAGCAGTGCAATGCTCGATTGCAAGGGGGATAGAACTGTCAGTGATCAAACACTGAAAGACTTCAGCAGCACTCTCCTCATTTGCACACAGTTTTTCTTTTATACAGTTCATTACATCCTTCAAAAAAACTGTAGATTTGTGTTCCGATTCACCACACTTCAATATTTCTGACAGTACTGACTGTACACCAAACTGTCTAATAGAATCTTGATAGAACTCACGGGCTCTTTCAAGGGGTAAGGCACTTCCAGTACACAAATATTGCAGAAACTTAAAGCACTGATTCACTGCATTAACATTTCCTTTAGGAGGTTCAAAATCAGAATTGCTGACTACTTCCCAAAATTCTTCGAAAGTATGTGAAACCCCACAGTGATGTAAAAGCATTTGCAACACATGAAGAAGTATTTTCTTCTGTCCACTTTGTTCATCTTGCTTTTTTAATGCTTCCGGTAAAAAGTAATCTAACTGTTGTAAAATACTGTCATCTGTTGATGAAGCTTTGTCTTCGGTTTCAAGTTCTGTGGAAACGCCAATAGATGTTGATGAACTTGCTAACACAGTAGTATTAAAATTAGCTGCAACTTCTTTTAAATCGGTCTCTGACAAACTTTCCTTCAGTAAATCAACAATGGCATCCCGACTCATTGAAGACAAATGATTTTTCAGATCTGTTGATGTAATATTACCTGCAACACAAAACGCACATATATTAGTAATAAATCAATATATATAAAGTAATCAATGTACAGAATCTCCCAAAACGGTTGTCCTTGAATGCAGTCACAATATTAGCATTACAAGTGAACATTAAATTACTAAGCTTCAATAACATTTTACACCAAAAAAAGGTGCTCGTTATGAACAAAGACATGGAGCAAGTATTAAAAACTGCACAGCTTGCATTACAAAATACCAGCAATACATAAACATCATATAGAAGGAATGAATAATCTGTAAGAAGTCCAAGATCAGATATAAATCTTTCCTCATGTTTAATCACTGAACATTATTTGTATTTTATGAATATTTATATTTTATGAATGTTCAAATCATTTCCTAAAAATAAATTCAATTCTTTCAAGAAATATAAATACATATAGGTGTTGTACTGTATTTGGTCACAGGTGCTAGAAACTAATGTCAATCAAACAACCATACTGAATTTTGTCATAATCAGCAATGCTAATAGTATCGACTAGCTCCCGGGAGTGTGGTAAAAAAAACATTTTTTTATTGTTACAATTTAAAGACTTCTCAATCACTATCACTCAACTCTATACAAGATTTTCATTTTGCCATATTAACATCTGATGCCTATTTTTGATATATGCCTTCTTTTGACCTTTATCTTCCTTTTTTCCCTCCCTTTTTTCTCCCAACACTGATCTGAATCAAGCTGGAAGTACTACGGCACTGTCATGATTTGACTTTCTCTGTAAGCAGAAAGGGTGGCACAAGGCAAGAAGTATTGAACTTACACTCCAGGGCCAGGAAGAGCAAAAAATAATTCCATGAAAGCAAGATGACACAAGTTAAAATATTTCTTTCATTGCTTTGACAGACTTTATTCAGTAACGAGGAATTTCATTCCTCCCTTGACTAAGGCCTCCAATCCCTTTCAAGGATCTCTGTACATAAGACCTTCTCAGTGATGGTGATCGCCAAAGGTTGAAGAAAGATAACAATAATAGCACTTTCACCGATGCTGTTCTAGAATTCAAAATTAAATAGCTTATTCCACAATAGCATTTCATAGAGATAATGCTGTTAGTGAAAAAAATTCATAGGCATTGTTCTGAAACTTAGTATGCCTCTAAGAATAACTTTATTTGTAAAACTGAAAAATAATCTTTCTGATAGAGTGAAAAAAAAATCTGTTGGTTATGTCAATATCATATAACATATCAATAATATTAATATGTTATATCAATTTTACAAGTTTTAGATCATTTCAAAGAAAAAGTCATTTCTGTCCCCGTAAGTGCTGAAGAAAATTTTAGAAGTGCAATAAAAATGTGAATCTTTTTAATTATGAACTTTTTTCAATAAATCCTTTTTTCTTTTCTTTTTTTATTGTTTACAAATTTTTTTGCACCCTCCATTAAAGCCAGAATGAATGCCTTTTTGTAAGCCAATTTTAGCAAAAATACATGCCCCTTTATATGCTTATTTTAGGTCAAGTCAATGCCTGAACTTCCCGTCTGTTCATGACCGAGTTGAACACTCCCATTTTGGGATACTCTGTACTAAAAGTAAGTATTTTTAATTCATAGAGGTATAATGTTTTTATCAAAAAGCTTCTTTACCAGAACAGTTTTCCTGCTGCAACCGCTGTTGTCTAATAGCTTTATAGCTCTGTAAATTTTTCATCCTATCTTCATATGCCTGAAATCATTAAAGTAAATAATGAGAATTCAAAGTAAGTTTGAGGAGCAGAAATAAAATAATCACAAACTATGCTCTCAAAGATTAAGAAATATAGATGAAAATGTTAGAGAATGTTGTACTTCCCACAGTTTTAGAATACTTCAGCAAAGATCAAGCTCTCAATTTACTTATTAACCCGCTGATGCAATAAGTGGTGACAGAACAAGTACACACAAATGAGGTTTCAGAGACCCAGCACCCGGAATAGCAATTAGAGGTAAAAGATTGAGAGTCTGAATTATTAGTATTGTATTGACAATCAAACTTAAAACACCTGTTGCAATTGATACAAAACTAATAATTATTTTATTTCAAATATTTTAAAAGAAGATCAGGAACTCCTCCTGAAAATGCTTAATGTGTAATCCCGCTCAAAAATTGATATCTTCAATTCACAATGATCATTGTTGTTCTTCAAAAGAAATCTTACCTCTAACTGAGGAAAAAATAACAATTTAAAAGATTCCTGCAATGTAAGATTAACCCAAAATTTTTGTTACTTTTTGCAATGCACAAAGAATCTTAATTTGGGCAATCACGTTAAAGGTGAGAGATCAGACTAGGTCAGAAGGAGATTGGAATAAATGAAGACCCATCTTCTGAGTAACAAGAAGTTCTCAATAGTAAAGGTGCAGATGATGATGGAATCCCTTCTTGTGGGGTAAATACATAAGAGAGGAATCTGGGATTCTCACAGGAGGCAGTCCCTCCACCCAGAAAACGCAATGTAGTCTGACTTGGGGATCAATTATTACTTGCAAGTTCCAAAGAAATTTTCTGATAAGACATTAAGATGACATTAGCAAAGCACAAAGGCACAAATAACAGGGTCTTGGCCAATAATGGAAAACAAACTTTCAGAAGTCCAACATGGATTTAGGAAAAGTAGATTGTATAGTAATTGGGTATTTACAATTATCCAATTAACAGAGAAGCACAGACAACAAAATCTACCAACAAATTATTTGTTGTTGTTGTCTATTAGAAGGTATTTGATTCAAGGGTAATACTACATTAAATAAAAAAATGAAGACCAAACCATTTAATAGGAGCTATTCACAGCCTGCATAGAGAAAACAAAGTAATGCGAACTACAATAAATGGGAAAGAAGCCGTAAGTATCAATCAATGTGCATGACCAGGGTGCCCGTAGTAACAAAAGCCCCAGGTCGCGCCCCACGTGACCACGGGAGCCGCCGATTCGCGGGCCGCCCGGCCGGAGGAGGAGAAGCGGCCGATCCTCGCGAAGTGCGGCGGCAGCCGCCGCCCGTCACGGCGAATCTGACGCCTCGCAGCGTACCATCTGCCGAAGCCACTGAACCGGGCGCTCCAACGCAGGTAATAGGGCCGAGTAGCCGTAAATAAACACCAAGTGAGTGCAGCTGAGTCCGCCCCGGGCTCGAGTAGCGATCAGTAAGCGCTGTTCCTCTATTCACCGTGCGTGCGAGGCAGTTACCACACATCTGCGCGCGACGGGCTGTGCCCGCAGGAAGAGCCGAGACGAGGGATCGGCCTCGCAGTGGCCTTCGGCCGCCGCCCCTTCGCGCAGTGCGTACCTGGAAGCCTGGTCCTCTCGCGGGCCTTTGGACCGTGAGGTCTCCGCGCCCGCTGCCCAGGATACCGCTGGAGCGATTCTATGAATTAGTATTAAGGCTCCCACAGACCGGCGCGGAAGACCCGCATCCTTCGCGGAAATTTCACGTCACGTGTTGCCTTGTGAGCACGTTCAGACCTGCGCGGCAGGCGAGATTGGCGGCGTTTTATTACCTGCGGATTTTGGAACCCAATCGGACGCGTTTCGGTCGCTGCCGCTCGTGGAAGTCCGCCTGCCTTCGGGGTTTTCGCTCCTCTTCTGGATCGAGCTGCCCTAGCCTTTGTTTATCGGATGAGGAAAATGGCACCAAACGCTGAGTCATAATTGACGCTCCGGCGTGAACGGTCCCGCGGATTCCGCTGCCACGTCGCCGTCTGGCGCGGCTGTCCGCGCTGCAGATCTCCCGCGCCGGCCTCAGAGCCTTTACGATATTTTTTAAGTGCGCCTGAGATCATTCGCCCCCCCCCCCTCTCCCCATGAGTTGACCATCGCCATCTTTCATCCCTTCTTTGTAAACAAATTTTAGAGTGAGAGTTAATTCATGTTAAATAATATTTTCTATCATGCTGCATTGTATGTCTCGCCTTCCGAACTCCTCACCCTAAATTTACAGAGCAACCGGGCAGGGTTGCAATCAAGCAGAGTGAAGTTTGGGGACTTGATTGAACTCTGACCGTGTGGATTACAATACACTCGTAATATGCAAGCTTATTGGAGAAAACGAAAGCAAAATGTATGTACTCGTACCTTACACTCCACGAAGCTGTTATCGTTACTTCCGATTCTCCTAGACTTATAATTGTGAAACTTCCGTCTTTACTTCACGGCGAAAATCATCTTGAATTATCTCCGCGCGTCTGATTCGATACGGCCATTGCGAAACCATGGTTTGTTGCTCTGCGGCTGCCTCTCAACGTCGGCCCGTCTTTCACCGCCACCCGCCGTAACAGGCCTCCCGAATTTCTTACGGCCCTGAACCTGTGGTTCGCAAATAGACAACGTTGCTAACGTCCACACCAAGGTATCTCGCTTCACCTCCGCTTACGCTGCTATATTGTTCATCCAAGGGCCACCAACTACTGGGCAACGTACAATTTTTTAAGATAAATAGTTTAATACTTCTGTTAAAGAGGTTACGAGAACGTCGGCCCCTGTTATAACTAAACCGCTTTTATATGTATACATAATAATGGTAATAAAATAAATAATGTGATGCGAAAAACGACGAAAGCATTAACTGACGAACCTCAGCAGGACTGTCTGCGTGACTGACAGTCTGCCTCCTTGCCGGTCGGAGGCCGAAAGGATAATAGCCCACGAGCTAGAGGCGGTGGCGCGGCATGGAGGGAGAGGGAAAATATATTTTGCCAAATTTCACTTTACGCCGCTCCTATTCATCCAATTTGGTCGGTTGACACCACGGATTCCGGAACCATGTCGCCATCGCGCGATAAGCCCAGATTTTTCAATTTCCCCCTGAAAGTATGAAAAGCAATTTTCAAAATGAATTTCGACAACTGTTTTTGGAGAAAGGCCATCACTGCGTAAATTTTAAATTAAAAATTAACCAAATGCCGTTTACAAATCGACAATCTGAAGGTTTGTTCAGATGTTATTGGTAATGTAAATTCCTGTGTTAGTGCTGTGATCTTTTTTTT